CACCCGGCCTCCCCAGTATCCTCCGCAGCAGCACCTCCTCCTGCTCCGCATTCCCCGCGCGTCGAGCCCGGCTCACCAGTCTCCTATCGGAGGCGCCCAGTCCCTCCGGTCCCACCGCAGCCGCCTTCGTCTCCGGTCTCTAGTCGCACTCGTTCCAAGGGACCGGCTCCGCCTCTCGCCTGGGGACCAGCCGCCTTCTCCATCCGGTGTTCGGTCACCCCACCTCCTCCTGCCAAGGGTGATGTCCCCTCCATCCGTATTCCCCCCCGTGCACTTCTGGAGGACAGGCATGACGAGCTTTTTGACCTTCACGCGGTCTGCCAATTTCTCTCTCACATCTTCCCGCACATTACTGACTGCCTTTCCCTCAACTTCACCGAGAACCCGACCATTCCGACTCCTCGCACAAAAGAGGAAGCTCTCTCGGGGCCTTATAAGAAGGAGTTGAAGGCAGCAATGGATGTGGGGAACGAGGCGTTCATTCGCAACAACAGCTTTGACGATGTTGTTCCCCCTTCCGGTGTCAACATCGTCGGCGGAAAATGGATCTTCCGAGTCAAACAATTCCCAGGCGAAGCTCCACTGTTCAAGGCACGATACGTGGCAAAGGGTTTTACCCAGAAGGAGTATCTCGACTTCTTCGAAAAATTCTCGCCCACGGCCAAGCTCCCGACTGTGCGCGCTCTTCTTGATATAGCTGCTCGCGGCAACTTCGAGATCAAGTCCATGGACGCCTCCTGCGCCTTTCTCCAAGGCCAGCTCAAGGAGGATGTTCACATGGAACGCCCACCGGGGTTTCCTGGCACTTACCCTGCCAACACAGTGTGGAAGCTGAAGCGCCCAGTGTATGGCCTCAAGCAGGCTCCTCGTGAGTGGCACAACAAGGTGAAGGAAGTCCTCCTCGCACTTGACTTCCATCCCTCTGCCTCAGATTCCAGTCTCTTCGTTCGTCACTCCTCCGAGCCCTTCTACATCCTCGTCTACGTCGACGACTTCATTCTAGCCGCCAGAGATCCAGCCGACATGGCAGCTGTCCAGTCTGCTCTCAGCTCCGCCCTTCTCATGAAGGATCTTGGTGACCTCAAGAACTACCTGGGGATGGAGATCACTCGTGACCGCCAGGCTTGCACGATCATCCTCTCCCATGAGTCCTACATCGACAACCTTCTCAAGCGGTTCGACATGGACTCCAGTAACTCTGTCTCCACTCCACTCCCACTACAGCATCAGCTCACGGCCCCTCCAGTTCCTTCTCCTGACGCCTGCAAGGACCCATACCCTGAGCTAGTCGGTTCACTCATGTATGCCATGATGTGCACTCGACCAGACTTGGCTTACCCGGTTAGTGTCCTCTCTCGGTACGTCTCCCCCGGACGCTACACTGCCTCGCATTGGTCTGCAGCCAAGAGGGTCCTCCGCTATCTACAAGCCACCAAGTCTCACATCCTCACTCTTGGTGGTACCTTTCCAGTCAAGCTCGAGGGATACACAGACTCCTCATGGGCCGATGACCAGACTGACAGACGCTCCTCCCAAGGGTACTGCTTCACCCTTGGTAGCGGAGTCATCAGCTGGCGCTCCACTCGGTCCTCTGCAGTCTCCATGTCGTCCTGCGAGGCCGAGCTCTACGCAGGCACAATGGCTGCTCAAGAGGCACGCTGGCTCTCCTTTCTCCTCGCTGAGTTAGGCTACCCCCAGCAGTCGCCCACCCTGTGGTGTGACAACCAGAGTGCCATTCACCTCACCAAGGATCCTGTGTTCCACTCTCGCACCAAGCATATCGAACTTTGTCATTTCTTCATCCGAGATCTTGTTCAGAGTGACGAGCTGACGGTACGGTACATCGCCTTAGATTGCAACCTCGCCGACCTCTTTACCAAGGCTCTCGGCAAGGCTGACCACCATCGCCTTCTCCGTTCCATGAGGCTATGTGCTCCTTGATCGGGCTTGCAATCTATGGGGGTGTGTTAGAAATAGACTGCAAATACCACTTTTGTATTTGTACTTTTATATCCTAGTTTAGGTTGTGAATGTTCTAGTGGGTTGGGGTGTACTCACAAATCCCAACCTCACCCAATTGTGATCCCCCCAATCTCCAATTACCCAATTGGAGATTCCGGAGATCCCAATGGGGATTCCCTCCAATTCCCCCTACATCCATTCTCTCCCACCTTGCCATGTACTTATAGAGCCTTGGGCTCCTTACCTAATCAATCATTTCAACTCTATTTCTTACATAGTGCAGCGGAGAGAGTGGTGCGTTACCTCAAGTCCGACCCTATAGTGGGAGTACAGTATTCAGCCTCTGTTCAACTCAGTCAAAAGGGAGTTGAAGTTCTCAAAGAGAAGGGGGAGCAGCTCGGAGAAGGAAATGTGTTCCTTTCCTGCTTCGCTGATGCCTCATGGGCTTCTGAGCATGAGGATTCATCGTCAGTTGGTGGATACATGTGCATGGTGGGAGGTGGGCGTGTAAGCTGGAGGTCCAAGAAGCAGTCTGAAACAGCACTATCTTCAGTGGAATCTGAGTACGTGGCGATGTTTCATGCGGCAAAAGAAAGCATCTGGCTAAGGAAGCTCTTGAAAGAGATCGGACAAGAACAGACTTGTGCGACACCTGTGTTCAGTGACAGCAAGGGAGCCATTGGTATAGCACGCAATGCGGTTCTTCATGGGCTGAACAAGCACATGAGGATCAAGTGGCATTGGCTGTAGAAGGAGGTGCAGCTTGGGACACTGGATCCGATCTATGTGAAAACTCAGCAACAGCCAGCCGACTTCTTACCAAGCGGCTAGCTGAAGAGCCACACTGGCGCTGTGCAAAAATAGCTGGAATGTCCTTGAACTAGAGTCAGCGAGACAAGCCGACAGTCTGAGGGGGAGTGTGTTGGTGCATATTCGTTTGCACGTCATCCTGTCGTCTGTTCGCATCTATTCATTTGCATGTGTTTCGTGTGCTATGTTATTTGTGTGGTTTGTTGGGTTTGCATGTCTTTGCATGTTTACCCTGTGCTTACTCAGATGCGCTTGGATTGTGCATGACATCGAGCACATTCCAACGAGCCAAGAATTGCTGGAATCGGAGCACATATGAAGATGTTACACAGAATCGTTTGATGGATTGTTACAGCTGCTACACCAAGGTTGGAGAGCCCTATAATAAGGAGGGACCAGCATGTGTGGGACTTTTGTCCTCACCTTGCAGCTGGAGCATTTGGGGTTTGGATGCCAACCTGGCACAGTGTGAATTTTGTCTGGCCAGGCTGGCTGAACCCGAGGATGGGGAGTCAAGAAATTGACTCTTGTCATGTTCTTGACCAAGGGCCTCCAGGGTCCTTCCTTTTCATCCTTCCCTTCCTACCCCACCTTCCAACTGTGCTTCAATAATTTACCATTATGTCTTTGAACTTGTAACCTTCAATGATTGTGACTCTGAGGACTGTCAACTTCTCCTAAAACAGATTACCCCCCAGTGCGCCAAATGCCATAGCTCACTCGGTAGGCTTTAGAATCAAGTGATTCAACTTGCATTGGAAAGCTGATGCTGCAAGCAACAAAATATACGATTTTTACTGTGTTTCCTTGATTGAATCTTTGGATATAGGTTTTCAAAGGTCGCTAGTTTTTTGTGCACCATAATGAAATGCTGCAGAAATTTCTAAGGAGCTGTCAAATCTTCTGCTCATAGCCTTCTCCAACAAACAGTTCACTTATATATGCTATGATGTGCACTCGACCAGACTTGGCTTACCCGATTAGTGTCCTCTCTCGATATGTCTCCCCCGGACGCTACACTGCCTCCCATTGGTCTGCAGCCAAGAGGGTCCTCCGCTATCTACAAGCCACCAAGTCTCACATACTCACTCTCGGTGGTACCTCTCCAGTCAAGCTCGAAGGATACACAGACTCCTCATAGGCTGGTGACCAGACTGCCAGACGATCCTCCCAAGGGTACTGCTTCACCCTTGGTAGCGGAGTTATCAGCTGGCGCTCCACTCGGTCCTCTGTAGTCTCCATGTTTTCCTGCGAGGCCGAGCTCTACGCAGGCACAATGGCTGCTCAAGAGGCACGCTGGCTCTCCTTTCTCCTCGCTGAGTTAGGCTACCCCCAGCAGTCGCCCACCCTGTGGGGTGACAACCAGAGCGCCATTCACCTCACCAAGGATGCTGTGTTCCACTCTCGCGCCAAGCACATCGAACTTCGTCATTTCTTCATCCGAGATCTTGTTCAGAGTGACCAACTGATGGTATGGTACATCGCCTCAGATTACAACCTCGCCGAACTCTTTTGCAAGGCTTTCGGCAAGGCTGACCACCATTGCCTTCTCCATTCCATGGGGCTATGTGCTCCTTGACCAGTTTTACAGTCGATGGGGGTGTGTTAGAAATAGATTGCACATCCCACTTTTGTATTTGTACTTTTAGATACTATTTTAGGTTAGGAATGTTCTAGTGGATTGGGGTGTACTCAAAAATCCCAACCTCGCCCGATTGTGATCTCCCCGATTTCCAATTACCCAATTGGATATTCCGGAGATTCTTATGGGGATTCTCTTCGATTCCCCCTTCATCCATATTCTCTCACCTTACCATGTACTTATAGAGCCTTGGGCTCCTTACCTAATTTATCCTTTCAGATCTATTTCATACATTGCATGCACAGACACAAACAATAACAAAAAGACAAGTTCAAGCTATAGGATTGCACCAATAAACATCCGCAAGCAGACAGGGGTGGAGGAAGAAAGAGCTGTTCCACGTGTGTTCCGTGTGAGTTTGGCAGCTGAATTTTGTGTGGGGGAGCTGAATCTTGATTGGGGCAGCCGAATCTTGAGTGGGAGAAAATTACTTGGTGGAGCTGCATGCGAGGGACAAGAAGGGTGGCAGCGATAGCAGTCCCATAGCAGTCCCATAGCTTCCTTGTGTAACACATAGCTTCTCCCTCTCTGTTGGTGCATATTCGTTTGCACGACATCCTGTCGTTTGTTCGCATCATTTCATTGCATGTGTTTTGTGTGCTACGTTGTTTGTATGGTTTGTTGGGTTTGCATGTCTTTGCATGTTCATTTTGTGCTTGTGCAGATGTGCTTGGATTGTGCATGACATCGAGCACATTCCAACGAGCCAAGAATTGTTGGAATCGGAGCACATATGAAGAAGTTACGAAGAAATGTTTGATGGATTTGTTACAAATCATTGGAAGTCCTTGGCAACTGCTACACCAAAGTTGGAGAGCCCTATAACGAGGAGGGACCAGCATGTGTGGGACTTTTGTCCTCACCTTGCAGCTGCAGCATTTGGGGTTTGGAGGCCAACCTGGCACTGTGTGAATTTTGTCTTGCCAGGCTGGCTGAACTTGAGGATGGGGAGTCAAGAAATTGACTCTTGTCATTTTCTTGACCAAGGGCCTCCAGGGTCCTTCCCTCTCATCCTTCCCTTCCTACCCCACCTTCCAACTGTGCTTCCATGCCTTTTCTATCATGCATCTGAACTTGTAAGCTTCAACTATAGTGACTCTAAGGACTGTCAATTTCTCCTAGGGCAGATTACCCCCCAGTGCGCCAAATGCCATAGCTCACTCGTTAAGCTACGGAATCGAGTGATTCAACTTTCAGTGGAAAAATGACGTTGCAAGCTACAACATATTTGATTTTCAGAGCGTTTCACTGATTGGAGTTTTGGATATAGCTTTCGAAGTTCGCGAGTTTTCTGGGCGTCATAACGAAGTGTTGCAGAAATTTCCAAGGAGCCATTTAATCATCTGCTTATAGCCTTCTCTAACCAACACTCTCCATCTCGAGCCTACAACTTCTTTGTACTTGAAAAGAAGGGCCTATGGGAGGGAAAAGAAGGGCTACTGCAGAAGCCATTGCTGCCGGCTCTGACTCATACAACCCTCTTACAACAACCGCAATCCCACAGTTACCTAGGGTCCTCTCTCCGTCTCAAGCCTCAAATTCTGTGCACTTTAAAAGAAGGGCCTACGGGGGGGAAAAGAAGGGCTGCCACAGAAGCAATTGCTGCCGGCTCCAATACAATCCTCTTAAAGCAAACCCATGGCAACCTAGCGTCCTCTACTCCTTTCTCAGTTGTCGCATTCCTCCCTTGTTTCTTTACTCAAAATTTGGAAGGGAATTAAGGGCTGGGAGAAATGGATGGGGGTGAACGAGGGAGGTGGTGCATTGGGTTTGTGGGTCGAGGTTTCTGATGACTGGCCGAGAAAAAACTACTCGTGCAGACAGATACATGCCCTACACAATTGCCGTATTCGAAATTTTATGTGTTGTTTTCTACGGGTTTGTTTGTGCCTTTTAGGACGGGTCTTATGTGTGTGCCTCCTAGATGTGTGCCTGTCTTGCGTGCCTAAAACCAGGTGCTTTAGGGCAAAAAGCGAAGGACTGAACATGGTCGCTGCATGCAGAGTGGCAGTAGTTGATGCTGCTAAGGTGGAACACTTGGCTCTACATGGCTTAGTACCAGTGGATGGGTGAGTTAGTAAATGTTATCCCTTTGATAGTATCTTGTAGATGCAACGGTGTTTGTGTAGCAGATGATTTTTCATCCTCTATTCTCAGAGTAACGAAGTGAGGTAAAGGTAAGCATACACGGTGATATATCTGTTTGGTGTTGGATTCTCTAAGAGCACGAACCAATCTAGCCTATAACTATACATGCAATCTAATTGTATAAGTTGACACACCCCCTAGGCTAGATGGTTGTGCCCAGCATGCAACACGCAGCTCAGGGTGGCACTACTAGTCCAACCTCTGAGGTAGGGGTTTGAAGAGTGAAAACTAAACAAGAGTAATTAAGGGCAACAGTACCGTACCAGTATTAGTCTTGCCACAGAGACAAGTCAAGAAAATTTAAGCCTAGTCAAGAAAATATAAAGAGTAGTACACAAGTCAGGGACCTAGCAAGTGAGGAGCTACTGGAAATAGACCAACCTGTAAGCAGTGCCACTGATGATCTTTAGACGCAAGCGCCTTGGTAAAGATATCAGCTCTGTTGGCACTGGAGGCTAACTGTGTTAGAAATAGACTGCAAATACCATTTTTGTGTTTGTACTTTTATATCCTAGTTTAGGTTGTGAATGTTCTAGTGGGTTGGGGTGTACTCACAAATCCCAACCTCACCCAATTGTGATCCCCCCAATCTCCAATTACCCAATTGGAGATTCCGGAGATCCCAATGGGGATTCCCTTCAATTCCCTCTTCATCCATTCTCTCTTACCTTGCCATGTACTTATAGAGCCTTGGGCTCCTTACCTAATCAATCATTTTCAACTCTATTTCTTACATGGTATCAGAGCGACCTATCCGCACACGCGGATCAAGGTCCTAATCTGAACGTGCCCGCGCTACGCGCACTTCATCGTCGCGACATTCGTTTCGAGTCGTCGGAATTTCGACGTGCTCCACTCTGCAGTCGCGCCTCTCATCGTCGACCGCCTTCGCGCTCGACCTCGTTGAATTTCTCATCTCTGAAGCGTTCACGCTTCTCGTCGTCGATTTCCTCATCGGTTCTCCTTGGTCGAATCTCAATTTCGACCATCTCTTAAAACTCGTTCTCGAGTTTCCCCTCAGACCCCGCCAGAATAGGCAAACTCCCCTCGCGAAATTGCCTCCACGAACGTCTCGCGTCAAATCAAGAGCAGCTACACAGGTTGAAGCGGAGCGAAGCTGGTTGCGGAACTGGTTGCGGAGCTGGTTGCGGAGCTGGTTGCGGAGCTGGTTGCGGAGATAGTCTTCCCCGAGCAAGCCCCTGCAGCCGCTCTCCTAGTCGGCCTCACTCCGGCATACGAAGTCACACGCAAGATGCTCTTGGGCCTTGCTCCTGCAGACCTCACATTTGCCAAGGTCTCATCCGCGCTCCTTTCTGCCGAAAAGGACAATAGCGCTCAATCCAAGGCCAATGCAATCCGTGCTCCCGTGCCTCAAGCCTATGCCGTTACGACGCCATTCCAGCGCAACCGCTTCCCCCCGTGTCCCTATGTCATCAAGCGCGGCCCTCGTGCCGGCCAGGTGTGTGGCGGCACCAACCACGCCCTTGCCTCCTGCTTTAAGAAGAAGGATGACGAATGGTATGCTGTTAATGGGACCGCCTCGAAGCCGCCAAGCTGGATGGTCAATCGTGCTCCTCGCCAAGTCAATCAAGTCGAAGCGCAGGAATCCGTGCAGGCTGCTGTGGCTGCACCTGCTGATGTGCGCCTCAACATGTTGTTCCCTGGCACTGCCATGATTAATGAAACGATTTCGCGGTATCCTGGCTCACAAAGCACCTGAGCCACAATAGAGTTCACCCTCGACAGTGGGGCCACTCACACGCTTCTCAAGGAAGAACACTCCTTCAAGCCATACGAGACACCAATCCGTCTACTAGGAGGAGACTCCAGTTTCACAACACACGCCAAGGGCTCCTCCACAGTTCCGTGCCCAGCTTTTCCTTCGGGCAGTGTGACTGGCATGTGTGTTCCCACACTACGCCACAATCTCGTGGCCCAACACAAGCTCCAACGGGCAGGCGTCACCACGATCTTCCCAGCACATCGGATCACTGTGACCTCCTCGACCCTAAGTCCAACAAGCTCCTAGCATGCTTCACACTCAACAGCAGCAAGCTCTACACGATGCGTTCACCTGCACCTCTCGCCGCCCTCTCCCAAGCGCATGCTGCCAGCACCACTCAGTGTTTGTGTCGCACCTTCGCCAACCCAACCATCCTCTACCACCATCGCTTGGGTCACCCCAACTTCCGTACACTTGCCGACATCGCTTCCAAGAAACTTCTTCTTGGCCTCCCGTCGGCGCTTCCTCCACTAACAGACTCGCCTGCACCCACCTGCCTGGAGTGCACCAAGAGCAAGCTCAGGCAGCAGCCGCACCCTTCCTCCCCATCCGTCGCAGCTGCTCCGCTGGACCTAGTGCACATGGATGTCTGGGGCCCAGCTCCAGTCGCATCCCGAGGCATTCATCGGTACTTTCTTACACTAGTCGATGACCACTCGCGGTATGTTTCTGTGCACCTCCTGCATACCAAGGCGGAGGCACCTGATGTCATCATGGCGTGGGTGCGCCAGGCTCAAGTCACGTTCGGCACTCCTCTGAAGTGCCTCTATTCTGATGGCGGGGGAGAATTTCGCAATGGCAAACTCGATAACTTCTGTGCGGCCCAAGGGATTCGGCAAACCTTCACGCTCCCCGAAAGCCCGCAGCAGAACGGTATTGCAGAGAGCCGCAACCACACCTTGGTTCAGATCGCTCGCTGCCTCCTCAGTCACGCCAACGCACCACGGTCACTCTGGGGATATGCCCTCTTCCATGCGGCACTCCTCTACAATCTTTATCCGCATCCCCACCGGCCCGACACCACACCTACTGCTCTCACCTGGGAGTTGTTTGACTCGGAAGATCCATTTTCCGCGGACGATGTTGACACTGGAAGGGGGAACAACATCGTCAAAGCTGTTGTTGCGAATGAACGCCTCGTTCTCCACATCCATTGCTGCCTTCCACTCCTTCCTATAAGGGCCTGAGAGAGCTTCCTCTTTTGTGCGTGTCGGAATGGTCGGGTTCTCGGTGAAGTTGAGGGAAGGTCAGTCAGTAATGTCCGAGAAGATGTGAGAGAGAAATTGGCAGACCGCGTGAAGGTCAAAAAGCTCGTCATGCCTGTCCTCCAGAAGTGCACGGGGGGGAATACGGATGGAGGGGACATCACCCTTGGCAGGAGGAGGTGGGGTGACCGAACACCGGATGGAGAAGGCGGCTGGTCCCCAGGCGAGAGGCGGAGCCGGTCCCTTGGAACGAGTGCGACTAGAGACCGGAGACGAAGGCGGCTGCGGTGGGACCGGAGGGACTGGGCGCCTCCGATAGGAGACTGGTGAGCCAGGCTTGACGCGCGGGGAAGGCGGAGCAGGAGGAGGTGCTGCTGCGGAGGATACTGGGGAGGCCGGGTGAGACACGCCGGACGGAGAAGGTCCTGGAGAAGGGGCAGCGAAGTCTGCCCAAACAAGCGTCGGGGGAGGTGGGAGAGGCTCACCCGTGGTCGCAGAGTGGAATGGGCGTGTCTCATCGAAGACGACATCACGGCTGCGAATCAGCTGTCTGGTGATTGGGTTGAGGAATAAGTAGTCTGGGGAGTCGGAGTTGTGCCCCAGGTACATGCAGGTCTGGGTTTTGGGACCAAGCTTGCCACCTTGCTT